CCAGGTACCAACAAAGGGGACAGAAAATTCCTAGCATGTGAGCTGGGCGTGAGTAATTTATTCACAGGGCTGGAGACCAGTTCCAACTCCAAGCAGGCCTGAACCTACCATGATGGATGATTTGTTACCTAATAATAAATGAACTTCCTCTCAAGTCAAAATGGACACAGGAGCAGAGGCCAATGTCCTGCCAATTAGTCCATTTAAGGAAATACTAGGGAACAAACAATTTGCTAAATCAAAGTATGGTTTTTGCATGGTGTCACTATAGACCAGAGTTAAGGTTTCTGCTGAATGAGAAACTTTGATTTATGAAGAATAATGGAGGGAGAGAGAGAGGATTACCATTAATCATTAAAAATATATTCAAACAATGTCTGTGACAGAGCCTCTCTATCTGTTGCATAACTGTTTGGCCTGTGTTATACCATTGCGGTATCTAGCCCTCCCGAGATCATAATTCTAAATGGGAAAGTAGTATAAGGTATACAGAGACAGAACTTTGGTAATTGGCCTCCCAGAGATTCTGCCTGTATTACCTTTAATCTCTTGATCACATCTGTAAAGATGAGATTTTTATGGGATATATCTAGAACTTATACTGTAATAACAAACTGTACGTAGACATCTGAAGAAGTGAGGTTCTTACCCACGAAAGCTTATGTTCCCAATACTTTTGTTAGTCTTAAAGGTGCCACAGGACCCTCTGTTGCTGTATGTAGACAGTAAACTTGTCTGTTTACCATAGAGCTTCACAGTTCTCCACAACCATGACAGCATTATGGGATGTCAGTGTGTAAAGAGGGAATGGAAAGCATTTTGGTACATTTGCATGTATAGTGTTGGGGGGGGGGCGATTTGATGTACATGTCTATAATGGGTGATAGAGAGTATTACAGTATATTCATGGATAGAATGGGGGCTGGATAGTTGTACAGTACAGACCCGTTTACGCATGGATGTCGGGAGTCAAGCCATCACGACCACGTGTTAACGGACCGCGGGTTAAGAGGGCCATGCTGAAATATCTGAAGATATTTATATATACATGTATAATTATCTAGGATTACATAAGTATTCACAGCATCCCAAATACTGCAGGCCTATCTGTTAACGGCGCTTTGCAAGAATATAAATTCAAATGTGTAATCTAATAAAACATTATTATTACTACACAGGGGTGAAAGTAACTCAGGACACTTACTGGTACCGGTAGGGCCGGCTCCAGGCACCAGCCCACCAAGCTTGTGCTTGGGGCAGCACCTGGAGGGGGGTGGCGCGGTGTGGTGCTCCGGCTCCGGCCGCCGGGGAGAGCGGAGCCCCAGCCGGGGCTCGCCGCCCTCCCCCCGGCGCTCTGGCCGCCGGGGAGAGCGGAGCCCCGACCGGACACTCCGCCTTCCTCCCAGGGCTCCAGCCGCCCTCCCCCTCCGGCGCCCTCCCCCCAGCCGCCGGGGAGAGCGGAGCCCTGGTCGGGGCTCGCCGCCGTCCCCCCGGGGCTCCGGTCGCCCTCCCCCCCCCGCGCCCTTCCCTGCCGCACTGGGGGCCAGGGGGCGGCTGGAGGCTTTTTTGCCTGGGGCAGCAAAAAAGCCAGAGCCGGCCCTGGGTACGGGGCGGCTCTGGCCCCCGGAAGGGGCGGGGCCTCTGGCAGAAGGGGCGAGGCTATGGGGTCAACATCCCCCAGCCAGCCCTTCCAGGCCGCCTGGTCCACGCCGCCCAGGGTTCTCATGGCAATTTAAAGGGCCCGGGGCTCCAGACGCCGAAGCTGCGGTAGCGGCATCCGGAGCCCCGGGCCCTTTTAAATCGCCGACCCCGGGGCAGCTGCTCACTTTGCCCCCCCGCCCGTCAGCGGTCGAGGGGGGGGGGCAAAAGGGGTAGGGACTTTAAAGCGTTGCAGGGTCTTTTGCGTTGTAGGGTCCCTACCAGCAGGGCCGCTGACGGCTGGGGGGGAAAAGGGGCAGCAACGTTAAAGTGCTGCCACTGCAAAGGACCGTCCTTAAAGTGCTGCTGCGGCAGCGCTTTAACGTTGCTGCCCCTTTTCCCCCTTACTCCTTGCCCGTCGGCGGTAAAGATGTACAACACGTTTCCGCTCCGTACTTCCTGTCGATTTCTATGTCAGTGAGTTAGTGAGCAAATCTGTAGTGCTACATAGCAAGTTCCTGTACCGCATGTTAACGAGTCTCGCGTGTTAAATAGGTAGCACTGGGAGGCAAGGCGCTACCGGGCGTTAAGTGGATTCACGCGTAAACGGGTCTGTACTGTAGTAGTAATAATAAACATCACTTACTTCTTATGCAGCATTTATTATCTATAAATCTCAGATAAAGGAAGGACAGTATCATTAGCCCCACAGAGGGGAAACAGAAGGAATGAGGTGAAGAAATATATTGTGAGTGTGTGTACAGGTGGGTGGAAAGTAATGGTGAGTAGTAAAATAGTATTTTAGGGTGGACAGTCTGGTTTGGATAGTAATGTAAATATATGCATTGAATGTGGAGTATGGATAGTGTGTGTCCTGTAGATGGATAGTATTATGGGATGCTGCTGTGTACAATGAAAGAGTAGTATTATGGGATGTCCTCTCATATAGTGGCGAGAAATGGATAGCATTATGGGATGACTGTATTTAACAGGGGGAGGGGGAGTAGACAGTATTATAGGATGACTGTGTATAACAAAGAGTAGATCATATTATGGAATGGCAGTGTGTAATAGGGAGGCCTCAGTAGTATCATGAGATATCTGTGTTTGTAACAAGGGATGGATACTGTTGTGGGACGTTTGTGTATGTAATGAGAGGGGATGGATAGCATTATAGGATGTCTATATATAATGGAAAATTGGTAGTATTATGTGATTTCCATGTATCTACTGGGAGGGCTGGACAGTGTAGGATGTCTGTCTTTATAACAGGGTGTTATAAAGTGATAGTGTTATGGAATGTCATGGTAAATTGGGATAGATGGTATTATGAGTTGTCAATGAGGATTGGAATATGTTATGGGATGTCACTTTGTATAATGTGAGACTACGTATTATTGGATGTGCATATTATAATTGTGAATATGTATAATTGGGGTGTTTGTATTTTTATGAAACGTCCATGGTCAGTATAAGGTGATGATGAGTATCATGAGATGCCTGTGGTCATAACGAGGGCTGTATAGTGCTATAAGATGGCCATGTCTATAATGAAAAGAATGGATAGTAAGATGGGGAGTCTGTGTATAACTGGGGTATGGATAGTTTTATGGGTACCTGTAATGGAAGGGTGGATTGTGTTATGGTCTGTGTGTGCATAAATAGGGATAGATACTATTATGGGATTTACATGTTTATAGTAAGGGATTATTAGTGATTGTATTATGGGATGTCTGTGTATACAACAAAGGGGAAGGACAATACTATGGGATGTCCATGTGTATAAAGGGAGGGTTAGATACTATACTAATGTGTGTAATGGCATAGTAAGGATGTTATTATGGCATGCCCTTGTGCATAACAGGGAAAGTATTGTAATATGGGATGTCTGTATATATAATGGTGTGAATAGTATTATGGGATGTCCACATATACATACACACACAATGGGAAGGACATAATTATAGAATATCTGTGTGTATAAGGAAGGAGGGAATACTACTGAGGGAAGTCCATGCATATAATGGAGGGGAAATAGATACTATTAAGTTTATACCATAAAGGTGTATAGCATTAATGGATGGTCATGTCTATGATCTGCGTGAGGGGGTGGATAATATGTTTGACCTTGATAGGGATGTTTGAGTATCAGAGTTGTTCATATTGATTGCTCTTCTGTATTGTAGGATGCCATTCCTTAATGGGGTGTGACTGTATTATTGGATGCTTGATTCTCTTTTAAAAGGGGGGTGAGCATGGTTATTATGGGATGTCTGCCTAGAGGTAGATTCTAGTGAATATTATGGGCTAACCGCCCGAGTGTGTATTTGGGGGGGGGTGTTGATCATTATGGGATACGTTGAATCTGCATCATCTGGAGGAACAAAGAATCCTGGCAGTCTGTGCCAGAGTATTATGGGATGTGTGGCTGGCCCTGTGCCCCCAGCGGTTATTATGGTCTGTGTAGATGGGATGTGGGGGTGGGGTGAATGGTGAGAGTGGATCATGAGTATTATTATGAGATTTTCTTACAAGTGATTGGTAGGTAGTACTACAGGATGCTTGTCTCCATGTTTCAGTATTGTGGGCTATTCAGATGGCACCCTGTTCCTTCTGGTCTGTCTGGGTGGAGAGGGGGAAATACATGAATGTGATTATTATGGGCTGCCTGGCTGGAGTGGGGGAGCAGGCAGTCAGTGCAAGTATTGTGGGTTGTGGCTAAGAATTGCTGAGAGTATTATGGGATGCCTGACTGGACAGTGGCTCCTGGCAACTATTATAGGATGCCTGGCTGAGAGGGGAGGATGAGAAGGGTGACTATTATTATGGGATATATGTCTGGAGTATGACTATTATGGGATATTATGGGGGCTGTTATGGAATGTCTCAGTGGAGGAGTTGAAGAGGGAGTAGTGCTTATTATGGGATGCCAGGTTGGGCAGTGAGTGTGTGATATTATGGGATATCTTAACAAGGAAGGGGGATTATTGTAGGATGTCTGGGTGAGGGAGGGGGAATGGGGTGGGGAGGAGGGAGTATTATGGGATGCTTGGGGCTGAGAGTGGATGTCAGTGTGTGGGGGAGAATGCAATTATGGGATGTCTCAGTGAGGGAGGGTGATAGTGAGGGAGGGAGGTGGCATGTTTTAGCAAAGAATTAGTATTATGGGATGTTTGAGTGAGGGGTGAGTGTGTGGGGAATATTATGGGATGTTTCTTAGAGGGAGGATTGTATTATGGGATGTTCCTGATGGGAGGGGTAATTATTATGGGATGCTGGGCCGGCCAGTGAGTAGGGAGTTCTGAAGGGAGGGCAAGTATTATGGGATGTCTCAGTTGGGGGGTTGCCAGGGTGACGGGGGCGGACCCATTGCCGAGGTGTCGGGACATATTATGGGCTGGAAGCGGGAGTGGGGAGGGGCCTGGCCGGGTTTTTTCCCCTTTAAGAGGTGGTGCCGGAGCCGGGGCCATTTTCCCTTCAGCGGTGGCAGCGAGAGCCGAGGAGCCGGGGGGCGAGCTGGGTGAGGCGAGGGGCAGAGACCGGACACGACCCCTAAATTGCTTTAAAGGGCAGGACGCGGGGGCTGCACCCCCTCATGTCGCCGACCCCAGTCCTGTCGTCGCCGCCGAGCCCCCCGGGAGCTGCCCTTCCCCGGGTCCCGGGGGCGCCGACCTCGGCCCGGCCGCCGTGCGTCCCCGCTGGGCACAGGGCAGCCGCTGTGCCTGGGACCCTCCTGCTTCGGAGCCGCCTCGCACCAGCGACCGGCCCGGCTCGCCCCCCTGCTGCCCCCGGGGAATGGCCCCGCCCGCTGGGACTGGCCGAGCGCCCTGAGCCGCAGCTGCGCCCGCCCCCCACGAGGGGCAGGGGTGGCCGCGTGCTGCTGGGCTCCCCCCGCGTGTGTGTGCGGCGGGGGGGGGGGGGGGCAGGCTCGCCGGGAGCCCGCGCGGTGCATGCCAGGGGCTCGCGGTGCCTTTGTTTTCTCTGCGTGAAATCGGGGGGCCTCTGTCAGTCTCCCGGGGGCGTGGTGGGGCTTCTTGAACGGGCGTGTGTACATTGTCCTGCCCCGCCGGCTCCGTGAGGCGGGTGGGATGTGAATCCTCCGGGTACTAAAAATGCTTTTTTTTTGGTGGGGACCCTAGATGCACGTCTCGAATATGGGAAATGTTCGGGGGGGGGGGGGGCTGCGATGCTGGTCTCTCGCACCGCTAGGGGTTTGTCTTCGTTGGAGTATTTACTTCATGAATTGATCGCCAGTTCAAGACAGCGAACACTTTGTTTGTGAAGGCGAGTTTGGCTGTTCCCCAAACACTTGTTCCATGCTGCACCCGCTTGTCGCTCAGACATGGCTGGCTCCCTAGAGATGTAAACCACCAAAGTTTGGGGAGCGTCAAGAGTAGCTTTGACAAAGGTTTTAACGATCTCGAATTAAATTGCGACCGGTTACCTAAAAGTCACAAAACTCCACTTTGCTATACTCTACAGCACTGGTACCAGTCTGGCATCATATTGCAAGGGTTTGGACGCTGTTACCATCAGACCGCCATTTGGTGGCCCTTTGCATGAAATGAATTCATGACACAGTTTAATTCCCAGTAGCTACAACACCACCCTCATCACGACCCTAAACTAGTGCCTAGTCTCAGCATTTCCATGCTTCCCTACTCAGCCCTTATGTCAGGGGCTGCACATTTCTAAGTTCACTACAGATGTGCATTGGGCAGGACTATTGCATGGGAATGTGGGTTCATGATGATTATCATAGTTAACTTTTTTTGTGTTTTTAACAACATACTGGTCTGACTGGCAGGAAGGAGACAAAGCTGCAAAAGCTGTCTGAGCCCAAGTACCCCGATTTGGAGGACATGGCATCGGGCATTGGATCCCCATCACTTTGTTCTGCTGGCAGTGATGATGAGGAGATGGAAATCCTGCTGAATAACAGCATCCCTCAGCACCCAGGTATAGATGGCATTGTAGGATGGCTGTGACTAGCAGTATGTAAAAGGGAGTGGTAGTGGGGCTGTTCTATTGAATGGGTGCTGCATGTAAAATACAATGTGCAGGGAGAAGTTTTGTTTCGTTAGGAGCCCAGGTGATTAGAATATTTGGGTCTCTTTATTGTGTCCTTTTTAAAAGCTGTGGTCCACACACTATAGTGAGGTAGAACTGGATTTATTCCAAACTAGTGCAGGCTGTTGGAGGTCCTTGGGGCAGGGAGTCTGGTTTTAATGGGGCATCTGAGTGCCTGCAAGGTATATGTACCATGGCTGGGAGCAGGAACAGTATGTGAGAGGGCAAGGTGTCTGGCTTCCTCTCATCCATCTGGGAGCTCAGACCTGCTGACAGTCCAGAGCTGACTGCCTTGGGCTATTGCATGACCCACTTTCTGTCTTCACCACACCCTACTCTCCAAGCTTCCCATGGATCATTCTACGCTGTTCACCTTAGCCCTGTTCTTGTGTTTTGTGTCAGTAGCTTTATTACCTGTGCAGTTCTCTTAGTACAGCAGTTCTCAACCAGGAGTCCGGGGCCCCAGGGGGCTGTGAGCAGGTTTCAGAGGGTCTGCCAAGCAAGGCTGGTATTAAGACTTGCCCAGGGCAGAAAGTTGAAGCCTCGCTGTGTGGGGCAGAAGTCCTAGGGCCCTGAGTCCTGCCCCCTGGGCTGAAGCTGAAGCCTGATCAAATTAACTTTGCGGGGCCCCTTGTGGCATGGGGCTCCTGGCAATTGCCCTGCTTATTACCCCTAATGCTGGTCCGGACTTCTATATGCAGAAAAATGGTGGTTGTGGCATGGGTGGGCCATGGAGGTTTTTATAGCATGTTGGGGAGGCCTCAGAAAGAAAAATGTTGAGAATCGTTCCCTTAATATTTTCCTCTTCAGGCCTCATACCTGATTTTCACTATAACTGCAGTCTCTGTGTGGAGAATGGGAATGAAGTTAGAGCTTTGGAGATTGAGAGTCAACTCTCAAGTTCTATTCCCAGTTCTATTGCTGACTTGTATGGATGTACAACTCATTTTGCCACTCTGTAAAATAGGACTTCTAGAAAGGAGCTCTAGAATCATCCCCCCCCACTTAGACTCCCTGCCCCAGTCACTTAAGTTAGTTGGTTCTCAACCAGGGGTATGCGTACCCTTAGGGTAGACAGAGGTCTTCCATGGGGTATGGCAGCTCACCTAGATATTTGCCTAGTTTTACAGCCGGCTACATAAAAAGCACAAGCAAAATCAGTTACGAACTAAAATTTCATACAAAGACTTGTTTGTGCTGCTCTATATACTAGACACTGAAATGTAAGTACAATATTTATATTCCAGCTGATTTATTTTATATGTATATGGTAAAATGAGAAAGTCAGCAATTTTTCAGTACTAGTGTGCTATGACATTTTTGTATTTTCATGTCTGATTTTGTAAGTATGTAGTTTTTAAGTGAGGTGAAACTTGGGGGTACATAAAACAGATCATACCCCTGAAAGGGGTACAGTAGTCGGGAAAGGTTGAGAGCCACTGACTTAAGTCACTGGGAATTTAAGAGCTTCAGGAAATGTACTGGGTGAAATCGAGGCGGGGGGGGGCGGGCTGACAGAGCCCTAAAATCAGAACTGGTTGGAAGGGAAGGATTTGGTACCTGTCCTGGTAGATAAGATACAGGCAAATATTGCTGGAAGGGGATATATTTGTGTCCATTGTGAATATGGACCTCATCCCGAGCACATTCCCCTGTGCCCCTTGTTCTCTGGTGGCTGCATCTGCTTTGAGCTGTGGCTTCTCCCATCCTGCCTCGCTTCTGTGGTCAGGAGGCCATTTTCCCCTGGAGGGAGAATGAGTAACTCTCACTCTGTAATGGGTGGGGTGGTTGGGGACGGGAGAGAGGGTGAATGGTTGGGCTGCTGTGGATCCAGTCACAAAGGAAAGGGCTGTCTGGCTGTCCATTCCTCTCTGGGCTTTGTGTGGGAAGGAGGGGGAGAGAACACAGATGGGAGTGTGTTTTTGTGGGTGGGGGAGAGTTGGCATGCATTACAACAGTGAGGGACTGAGCGTGCTGACTGTGGTGCTGGAAAGCTATGCTTGTGGGCTGGCTGCTGAGGCAGGGATCTGGTGAGTGAGTTGCCCTGAACAGAAGCTGCCCAGGTGGGAGGGGAAGAGCAAGTTGCAACTGACTGTTTTGTTCCTTGCTTGCCACCGTAGGGCCCCTGTGCTGTAGAGGTTTCTTCTGGGGACCCTGGGATAGAGCCCATGCCCTCATCCCTGATCAGCTGGTTCTCTTGAGCTTTCTGCTACACTCTCACGCTGCCTATTCCAAAGACCAGCTGGGGGCTTCTTGTCTTGCTCTTTTCCTCCCTTACCAATTAGGACTGCTCACATCTCTGACTGCTGATTCCTCTGCATGTGGCCAGTAATTCCTAACTCCATTTTTGCTATGCTTGCTGGGCTAAGGAAATTCCTAACCTGTTAAATAACATGTGTGGCTTTGCTTGGAGAAGGAGCAGTGGGCTAACTAGGGTAGATAGTGATGTGGGAGGTATGGGCGTCTAAGGGCTTTTGATTTTGCCCTCTTCAGTATGGTATGATCAGTCTGTTACTGGACACTGTTAGACAGGGCTAAGATGAATGTGTGGGTTTGAATGTGTGTACCAAGGAGTTGAAGCAGTTGAGTTGTGTGGGGAGTTGGGGTATGCTGTGATGCAGCACTCCTGGATTGTGTAGCATGGCCCAGAGGGCATGATGGTGGTGCTTTGGTATATATCAGTACTTCCTAATTCTGCTCTCCCCTACCTACGCATCCCCCTCCAGAGCCTGAAGAAGAGCCAGAGGAAGAGCTGCTATCAGAGGCTGAAACTCCCAAAATCAAGAAGAAAAAGAAGCCCAAGAAGCTGAAGGAACCAAAAGTGCCCAAACTTAGCAAGCGCCAGAAAAAGGAGGTGAGGAATGGAGGGCTGAGTGTGAGGGGATATTCTGCCATGGAACAGGCTCTGAAGACTGGACACATAGGCAGTCATTCCTGTTACTGCCTCAGGCTGTGCAGCGACCCCTAGTTTGAGCCCCCTGGAGTGTGGGGGAAGGTGTTGCGAGTACTTCTCTCAGGTCTCTTCTCACAGCTGCCTGATCTTCTCTCTTCCCCCTTTCCTCCAGCTAGGGGACAGCTCTGGTGAGGGGAATGAGTTTGTGGAGGAGGAAGAGGAGGCGCTGCACTCAGACAGTGAGGGCAGTGACTACACCCCTGGGAGGAAGAAGAAGAAGAAATTAGGGCCCAAGAAAGAAAAGAAAAACAAAGCCAAGCGCAAGGAGGAGGAGGAGGAAGAAGAGGAAGATGATGACTCAAAGGTGAGAGGTTGCCCCATTGCCCCACTCTGTCTCCTAGATCTGACCTGGAGAGACCATCACATTGCTCCCTTACAATGGCACATGGGTGCTGTCCTGCTTGTTCTTCCCTCTGTCCTCTAGACTTGGCCCATATGGGCCATATTCCCAAATTACTTTCCCCTCACCCCTAGACCTTGAGGGGGAATCCCCTGACCCAGAGTTGTCATTTCCCTTCCTCCTCCTCCCCCCCCCCCCGCCCCCGCCCCGCCCCGCCCTCCAGACTGATGGGCTCGCCTGCAGTATATAGAGGCTAAACCCCTTTTCATTGTGTCTGGTCACTCTGGGACCCTTTGCATAGGAACCCAAATCGTCTGCTCAGCTCCTGGAAGACTGGGGTATGGAGGACATTGATCATATCTTCACAGAGGAGGATTACCGCACTCTCACCAACTACAAGGCTTTCAGCCAGTTTGTCAGGTAAGTTTTGGGCCTCTGGAGCAGAAGGGAAACAGGACAAAATATCCTTGTTCCCTGGACCTCAAAGCATTTTAGACACTAAATGGCCACCATTTGGTGACAAGAAGAACAGGAGTACTTGTGGCACCTTAGAGACTAACAAATTTATTAGAGCATAAGCTTTCATGGATTACAGCCCACTTCTTCGGATGCATATAGAATGGAACATATATTGAGGAGATATATATACACACATACAGAGAGCATAAACAGGTGGGAGTTGTCTTACCAGTCTCTACGCAAAAGAATTAATGGACACAAATCTGACATCAGGAATCAAAATACTCAAAAACCA